TCAAAAAAATCCAATTAGGAATCACTGAGACATGTCTTTTTAAAGATGGATGATCTGAACTGCCAAGGCAACCGACCCCTATGCACTCAAAATTTCATCAAAAAGTTTTTTCTTACTCCAAATCAAGCAATCCTTATCTTGTTGGAAAGCTATCACCAAAAGATACAACTAAAAAATCAAAATCAAAATTCAAAAAAATTAAATGATTGATTGAGGGAAATCCGAGGCTTTTAAACCTTTAGGATATTTGAGAGGCTGAGGGAGCTATCTACCACAATGACCTATGTCTTAAAATCCAATGATCATCATTCACTAATCAAGATCCATGCATACACAACTACAAGTTTACAATGGGATTAAAAAAAAATACAAAATTAAGATTAAGGTTTAGGGCCAAAATTTGATATGGCTTTGTTCTTCATCAAAAGAAGAGAGAGATAGGGCTTGGAGAACCAAGCCACTCTTATACAATTGAGTGGTGGGTTGTGGAAGGGCAGCCACATCTCCACCCTTGATCTCTAAGATTCCTTATGTAGATCTATGGCCTTTATTCATCTAAGAGCCAATTTCGTTACCAAGGCTGATGGCTCTTGTAAGTAGCTAAGAAAGTACCTTTTGATAAATCCAACTTCACCATTGTGTTCAAAACCTCTTTTTATGCTAAAATCAACTATTCACATGCCTCAATCCATGCTCAATTGCAATTTTTATGAAAGTTTTTATCTACAAGGATCTTGGCAATTTTTGTAAAATCCTTCAAAATGAGAATTTAATTGCTCTACTTGTATTTTGAAGGAGAAGGTGCTGATCTTATTTTCTTCTTTGTGTGGAGTGAATTTGGTGCCACCATTGCATTAAAAATGTTTCTATTAATTAGAAGAACTACTATGCCACTTGAATTTGTTGAATTGGAGGAAATTTCAAAATTGTCATTGCTAAACTTCAGTAAATCTTCTAGAAAATTATAATTCTAACTCATTATAAATCATGTGAAATTATTATAGGTGAATGCATAGGCTTTTAGTCAACCTTTATAGTAGTGACTAACAATCTTTAAATTATTAAAACTAACTAAGTTGCTATTCTAATTTTCCAACTCTTATCACTTTGATCTTAATTAACCTAATTCAAGGAATTAGGCTATAATTTATACCATCAAAGATTGTAATCCTAAAAATTCTATAAAACTAAATTCTATTCATATAAATCCTAATCTAACATGCTCAATTATCATAAAATAAGAAAATAATAAAAATTTAAATTTTAGAGCATATTTGAGAGCTCACATATAGTGATACTATCTATTAGAGAAGCTAGTGGTTGTTTAGATTGACCAATGATTCTTGCTATATGATTTGCATCTGAAAAATATGAAATCATGACATCATCATTAGAAAGAATAGTTATAGCTTTTTGATATTCAGTTTGAGTACAAGCAAAGGTGAAAATATACTATATCAAATAACTTATTGTAGAGACTAGACATGAAGGTCAAATTGAGAGATAAGACAAAAGTTGCTACCATTAATAGTATCATTTTAAATTTAACAAAAGAGATAGAATAGAAAGAAGTTATGCATTCATATCCTTATTATAAGATGATTAGTGATCGACTAAAGGTGGGTGATATATAATATGAAGATTACAATCTTAGGGATGGCTTACTTTATTTTAAGAAATAAATTTATGTACTTGATAATGCTATATTTTAAACATGCATACTTCAAGAGGGACATGACATTCCAATATCTAGATATTTAGGGCAAGATGCAATCTTTTATTCATCTTTTTTTTTTTAATACAAATTAAGTTATATTCTCTTTGTAGATCTATTTTGGTATAAATCTTTAGTTGATTGAATTGATTAAAAAGTCCTAAAATCAAAGATAAAAGATATTTATTTTTTATGGTGATTTTTTTTGAGTCTTTGATAGTATATACACATCTACAATGATTTGTCTTTTTTCTTTACAAATTAGTTAAGAGCTCCTATTAAAGATTTTTAATGGTACATGAAGTTGTCTTCAATGTATTCTTTAAGTGCTACCAACTTTTTTTGTGAAAAGCTATAAATTGTTCCAAATGGGAGTTGAATTTCTTCTTAAAGATGAATAAAATAATTATATAGATGATGATTTGAAACAATATTTTTATTCTTATTTTCAAAAATATCTTGATAATCATTATATTAATTTAAAAATTTACTTTTAATCTTTCAACCATCAAAAATGGATATGGTATATGTACCAAAAATTGATATTTTTTTTTTGCAACATGTATAGAAGCTCTTGTATCTATCAATAAGAATATGGTAGTATTGAACTTATAAATTTTTACTTAACTAAAAAAAATTTAGATTAAACTACAAAAAAATTAAAATTAAAAGAAATTGAGTCTATTTGAGAGTTATATTTTTTTAACTACAATAATCCTAAAATAATTAGATTGAAATAAAATTTAATCTTATTAAATATTAATAAGTTATTTTGACTATTATTTGCTACATCTAAAAGACTTTTTTTTATTGATAATACATCTAAAAGACAACAATCAACTATCTATTTTTTCTATATGTACAAGTTTGATTTTTTTATTAGAATATTTTTTATTTTTTTATAAGGTCTTCATCTATAAAACAAAATAAGGCTCTTAAATTTAATAAAGTAAAGACTTTGTGAATTTTTGGTCCTAAATAAAATTCTATTATAAAATAAGGTGAAGAATTTGAAAAAAGAATATAAACTTTACAAAGTATTGTATAAGATTTTAACTGTACAATCTCTTTTATAGCTAGAAAAATTTGTTTTAAGATATATTGTCTTCTATGGCAACTATGCTTATTATTTTTTTATTATATAATTTCTTTGAATAATATTGAATAGTATATTTAGATTCTTTAGAATATAAGCATGAATCTTCTTAATAACATTAAATCTTTTTTTGTTTAATAAAAAATTTGAAATATATTATATCAATTTATATAGGTTTTAGCCTTGATGAATAAGTTTCTAAAAATTTAGAAGTTATTACTATGACTTGACTTATACCTCTCCAATCAAATCTTGGTTCTTGGCATCTTTTAAAGAATTGATTGTTGCATGCAATGGCTTAAGTAATAAATTATTTTAATGAATTTGCTCTTCGTATTGTCAATATTAAATGTTTGATTTTATTTTTTAATCCATATCAAAATTGATTGCTTAGGGCTTTGTCATTTCAATCCACTTTGCAAGCAAGATTTTAAAATTCAACAATATATATATGTTGGCTAAATGTGATCCTTATTATAAAAATATAAGTTTAATTTTTGCTACCATTTTTAATCACTTTTTCTAAATATGGCTATAAATACTTTTAAGAATAAATTTAAATTATAGAAGAATTATAATTTTTTTCTATTAATGGTATAAATAATAAAAGTATTTTTACATAGAGGTGCATTCATTAAGTTAATTCATCAAGATATTGGAAAGGATGCAGCTTTAGATAAAACTTCAATTGTTGTAGAAATCTTTAAAAATTTAGTCTTGTTCCATCAAACTTCTCCAACATACTTATCCTTGTTTCTTTTATACTTATGGCAATAAGACTTCTTGAATTTAGTTGTGAATTTGATTTACTTGCTTCTCTTAATTGTACAATTTTTTAGCATAGACTTTGAACCTCATTATTGACTTCTACTGTATATATAGGAATAGTACCTACATGGTTGGCATTAAAAATACATGAGATTTTTTCCTTAAAAGTATTGTTAAAATCATAAAGATCTACAATAGTTACAAATTTATTCTCACTTCCATCAAAAATGGCATCTATATTTTTTTTTCTTTTATATACAATTCAAAAAAATCTACAAGTCAAATTAAAAGAAGATAATCTATAATCTTTAATATCAAATGAAATTTTTTACATAAAAAAATAAGCTACTTTCTTTAAGAAAAAAATTTGTGATTAAAAACTAAAATATTAATTTAAAGTTAGTAGTCTATAATCTTAAAAATACAACAAAAAAGTGGGATAATCTACTCACTTCTAAAACAAAAGAAGAACAAAGAATTAGCACTCTTATTAAACTATCAAAGATATGAATTTTAAAGAATCAAAAGTCAATATATTCTCATGTTACTCAATAAGAATATATATATATATATATATATATATGTATATTTATATAATTTGGTGAAGTAAAAATTTTCATATTTTCTAAGATAATATGATTATAATATATTGATTTATAATTTGCAACTCTTTATAAAAGTTTTAAAGTCATTTATAATTTTTATAAGATATTTATTTTATATAAATTTTTAGAATATTTTAAAAGAATATATGTATATTTTTCTCATTTTAATATATTTTTTCTAAAATATAAAACTTATTAATTAAAATTTATGTAATATTATCTGAGAAAATTTTTTAAGTAATTCAATCTCATAGGACATGTTTAATGATTATGTTTGTATGTATGTATGAATATCTATGATAATAATAATAATAAAAATAATAATAAATTTAAATCTAAGATTATATTTGAAAAGTTCTTTGAGGTAATAATGGACTCAATGTAGCTTCCCACCCAGCTTGAATTGAGTATTATATTTTATTTTATTTTTCTAAAGAACAATAAACAAACAAGATTACTCATGCACATTAAGTATCTGAAATTATCACTTAATAAAAATTAATTATTCACACATTCATAATACACAAGAAGTTTTAAACTACCATTGAAAATTGTACTGTATGAATTATACAAATCAAAGGCAGTTTATTCCAAGTTGTCTAATCCTTCGAAAAGGGATGAACGTGTTAAACTGGTGATAAACTCTTTAAACGCACGGATGAACTATTTCGAATGGAACTTTTCGAGGTGTCTTGCCAGGTCAGCATTTATAGAACACGTACACGAAGTCTACGTGGCAGAGTGGGGTCCACCCTTCGGAATCCGGTGGCGCCGGTTCACGGCATCAATTTCCGAACCGAAACGAATCATCAGCGACGCACAAGAGCGGAACTCTTTGTTACACAAGAGCCGCATGCGGTGTGCCTTCCATTTCCCCCTGCGATGGCGTCTCTACTCCTCACGTGCCGCTTGTTGACAAGTGAATGCATCGCCGCGTTTGTCAAGAGCCAGAAGGGCGGCGATAGGACCTATTCTTTCGATGGAAGAGGTGGAGATTTGAACCGCTCGTGTTTTTTTTTAATTTTTTTTTATTTTTTATAATTAAATTAAATTAAATGTATGCTTGTGCTTGAAATGCGTCGAGGGTGTCGTCACGATTCTTTGCGTGATCACAATTGTTGAAATGCATTTGACGATGTATAGAATCGTTAGTTTTGGAGAGGGCCGATTGATTTTCTGGAAGTAGAAGGCAACGGTCGTGATTGTTTAATTTGATGTGGAGAGAGTGTAAAGAATTGAGTAGTGTAAAGGGTATTCGATGTTTGAGGACTGAAGGTGTGTGAGCAATTGCGTTGATTGTTCGGGTTTAGAGAATACCCGGGTTTCGATCCTGGGAAAGAGAGGTTTAGTTGGAATGAGGATTCTGGAACTACACTTGAGCTGCATGGTGTTGTTCTTAGCAGCTCTGGCGTGAGAGAACGCTAGAGCTCAAATTCCTACGGTGCTGAGTCGCCGTTTAAGTAATGTAATTGTGATTCTAAGGAAGGATTCTGATTATTGAAACTTCTCTTGAATTGACCTCGAGAGCTGGTGTGGTCATGCATCCATGAAGCTTTGTTGGCCTTGAAGTCTTGAAACCCTGGTGAAACAATGGCCGTGGAGCTATTTTCGTCGGATGGTACTGCAGAGGAGGAGACAGAGAGAGTGGAATTTTCCTCAAGTTCTACAGCTAAAGGCACCGCTGATCCCGAGATCGCGAGCGCTAGCGGTGAGTATCGCACAGCCCACTCTTCATGAGCAGGTTTGTAGTTTAAATTCTGAGTGTTTTTGGAATGTTTGCCATTGAGACCGAAGGTTGTGAGACAAGTTTGTTTTTCAATTCAATCTCACGATAATGGATGGTTGAAGCTGGAATCTAGCAGATATGTTTGTGATCGTCCTACTAACTTGGGTCTGTGAAGTGTTGCAAACACTTTCTTTTGACTGAGAAAACTAGGACTAGATTCTCAACCGTTTTTTACCTGAATAAGCATGCATTTCATTGTTTCAGAGATAATGTACGAGAGGAAACGAAAACATCCAGCTTTTAGATCTAAGGGTTTTGTGAGCAATGGGTTGGCATACAGTTCACATGGTGAGCATCATATTACTTGAAGCATTTTCTTGCTCGTTACGCTGTTCAGTTGTCAAATTGTGATTGCCCTTTCCATTTGTGAGATCTTGAAAGTGAAGACAAAAATTGTCAATCCTGGACTTTTATCCGGTAATAGTCACTTTAAGATCTCTGAATTTTGCTGTGAAATAAGCAACAATACCCTAAGCTTGCGTTATCATAAGTACCGATTTTCTCTTTTACTAAACCGAGATCTTTTTACTGCCGAATAAATCCATAAACCAGGCGCCATGTCTCCATCCTTCGATTCGTAACCTTATACTTTTGAGGAAGAATGTCCGAAGAAAGTCAATACTGCCTGGCTCATATCCTCCAGCTGTAGGTCTAAGAAGTGGACGCAAGATGCTCTTAGATGTATGAGATTATGGTGTTTTTAAGTTTTAATGATTGCAAAAATCACTTTTCATAGCGACAAAGTAGGTTGTACCTTCAATTTGTAGAATAAATCACATCAACCTCTTGCTGTGAACTCCCCTCTAACCTTTTGGTGAATATTTTAATCATGTGAAGGCCATCCAGAGGTCAGGCCAGGCCTATGTCAACTTTTAGTTTCAGAGGAGGTTTCAGATGCTCACCTGCCTGTTCGACTTTCGCCAACTGGATTGGCAGACGCCACTGTACCTTCGTACCAATCCGAGGTCTGTACAGACGCAGAAGATTATGTAATGGTGTGTACTTTTGTTTTTTATCACACATCCACGTTCTTCGTGGGTGTAGAGCATTCTTTTCATGTCTTCAACATGATCTTGTTGGATGCTGATCTTCGTTCCACTGAATTGTCGTTGTCCTCAACTGAAATTTGTTTGCAATGAATCTTTTGAGGGTTACCAGATTTTAGGCCATGTTCAGGGTTCTTAGTTTTCGAAACGATGAATCGTTAGGAGTTTCCTTTAGAGCTCCTCCCTTTGCTTCTGTGGATCATTTAATAGAAACAGGATTGACCTTACTTTTCCGTCGTTTTGCATTTATGTTTTACTAAATGGCTCTCAAGTATCACGGTCATAGAGCATTATATTTGAGGCATTTGAATTCGCACCTTCTTATTTTATCATTATACCAAGTATCATTGAGTACTAAATGTTTATGATATTTAAATTGAAGTTGAAAATTGGTCATTTTGTTGAGAACCTGCATTTCAGAAACAACGTTCTTTTTATATCGAAGTATGTCGGCTTTTTTTGTCTATAAAGAAAATGTATATTTGGAAACAGGTTTCAGCAGACATTTCACCAGATCGGTATGTTGGACCAATAAACGAGACTTGGCACTTGCCTCCTTTGCTAGACATCAATGAGGTCTCGCAGCGATTTGCAGAGTCTGCTTCGAATTTACGACGCCGCTTTGCTAATTTAGTAGGTATGTTACCTTACAGTCAAGAAACTTTTGCAAAGAGCACTTGGTTTGTGTCTATTGGAATTGCAAGGTTTTGCGATACCCTGGTTTACAAACAGCTTCACATTCTGACGAAAACTTTATCTAATGAAAAGTTCCTCGGCTTTAAACAGAGGAAAATGTGACCCGTGATATACGAAGGAACCTTTTGGAGCAGCTTTCTGGCGCTTCTATGGATGGTGATCCCAGGATGAGTCTTTCAGAGCATGAGAGGATACACTTGAGTTTGGCATCAGCAAGCACTGCTTCAAGTCATTCAACTGAAGAGGTTAACATCAGATTGTTAGAGAGTGCTCATCTTTTAAGCAACATATCAGTTGAACGAGCTGCTGCGTTATTCTCTTCAACCAGTGCCGCCATGTTGGAAATGGGCCAACATTTTGTGAGTTTGCCGCCTACGGTTTGGAGCGGGTTAGTCCTCATTGTCATTTAAAATTTCAAGTGATACCACTAAACTCTCCGCTGATTGAGTCTCCGATTCGCTCCATATCACCAAAAAAGTCTTAAGTTACCTTTGCTTAAATGCTAGTAAAGTACTCCACAAATGGGATGCGAATGCAGGTCTTGTATGTTCAGTCATCAACTCGCTTGGCGGCTTAGTTTCCCGTTCCTGAAGCTTGTACACGTTTATATAACACGCAACCATGCATGCCTGAAAAGGAAAACAGATGGGTAATCAATTACCAGAAAGTGGACCTCAGTAATCTCATATATTAGGCAATTAGATCGTTGAGCCTGGAGAGATTTTGCTGGACGTTAAATGCCGGCTATTGAGATGGTACATGTCCAGTTATGCTGGCTGACGTCATCTTCACATTGCTCCTTTGTATTTCCTCCATTATGCGCATCGAATATCACGTGACATTGATTGCCCAAGGCATTGTAGTGATGATAATAATGGAGTCAAGTACTTAGAGCTGATCTTTAGGATTGATGAGGCAAATGATTCACGTGTGGTAGGCTTGAAGCCCAAAGTACTAGTCGTATGAGAAGAAACTGGATATGAGGAAATCATTTAGCGTTTTATCCGCTGGATTGTGCTGCTCTAACGTGAATAGTGACTGAAAGTAGTGAGGGGCTGAAATGTTAAATGAAGCATGTGTTTAAAAGAGAGTTGTTTCTTCTAATTTTAAATTTATTTTATTTTATTTTTCTCAGAATTGTAACACGAATTCAGACCACTTTGCGAGGTTCTGTCGATGACATTGGCTGGCTTGTGAATAATCCTGACTATCCTGCTGCTGAAGATGGTACAGAAGATTTTTTGAGAGCGTTGGAACAGATCGGGTGAGTATTCACATCGCTTCTGTACTCATTGTATGTGTAGATACGATTATTTGTGGCCTAGATCTGAAATTTTATAAACACAATTGATTACCTGTTCTCTGGTGGTAATTTTGGTAGCCATTTTAATAAGCTAATGGATGTTCTAGCCGTTAATCAATAGTGTTGCGGTCTGTGGCAGGCGTGGCATTCATGTTCTTCCTGATAACCTGACTTACCTCCTTGTTCCAGGTGTGCTTTTCTTTCTATGCATCTTTTGGAACACTATCAAAGATTTCAAACTTCGATGGAAAATTCTACTAGGAGCTGATAAATGCGTGTGTTACAGGTCTTTTCAGTAATCACGGTCCGTTATATTTTCATGACACGAAGAAACATTTCGCTAAACTGGGATTGCCGTGTCACATTGCAAAAATCCACAGTGAAGTAAGTCAGTTTCCCACTTAACGTCATAATTTCTTGAAGTCAGATTCAAGAGTTCTTAATAATGAACTCTAATGTAAGTATCAGATCTTACTCAAGTAACACCAGATGATGCATGAATACAGTTAGGTGTGGAGAAGAATGCGAAAGAAATAAAGGAATACGTTGAAGTGCTGTACAAATCCACAGGCAGAAAGGTGGTCATGTTAGGACATTCGAAAGGAGGTGTAGATGCAGCTGCTGCCTGCTCCATGTTTTGGGATCAGCTGAAAGGCAAAGTTGTCGGTATAATACTAGTGCAGAGTCCTTACGGGGGTAGCCCAATTGCATCAGATATCTTGCGTGAAGGCCAGATTGCGGATGTTGAAACCCGCCGCATATTGGAAATTTTGATCTGCAGAATATTCAAGGTAAATTTCAGCTCAATACCAGAATCTTATGGTTTGGACGAAAATTTGAATCAGGCAACATCAGAATGCATGTTGTCGTATGTTTTAGCAAATTTATCAATTCTATTTTGAAGGGTGCGTAACGATATTGGATTTTTTTTTTTTTTTTTTTTTTTTTTTTTTCCCGCAGGGCGACATAAAATCACTTGAAGACCTAACTTATGAGAAACGGAAGGAATTCCTCGCCAAATATTCCCTACCGGCAGATCTCCCTGTACTCAGCTTTCATACAGAGGCAAGCCGGACACCTCGAGCAGTTTCCGTCATGTCCCACATAGGGCATGCGCAGCTCCCGTGGCTCCCTGGGATAGCCAGGAGGCGAAACGATCAGAATTCAGACGACAATGAAGGAAGTGGAAAACTCCACGTGGCGGTGCCTCTCGCAGCAGCTATGGCTATATGTGCTCTTCATCTTGAACTAAGATACAAAGAGAAAAGCGATGGTCTGGTTACACGGAAAGATGCCGAAGTTCCTGGGTCGATTGTCGTCAGACCCGAAAAGAAACTTGACCATGCTTGGATGGTTTATGCGCCTTCCCGCCGAGAACCCAATGAACCCGATGCCGCTCAGATGTGCGAGGCTCTCATTGCTTTAGTCCTTAACCATCCCAGATGGAGGAGATGTGATGTTACTTGCGAAGCTCAAGTTGCTCTGCAGGAGGCAGATGAAGCTAGTGCGAATGCCTCTCTGGCCAAAAGTCAAGATCCAAACGATTTCCTCACTACTGATGCTGCCAGAAGCTTTCTTGCGGACACGGAAGGGGTTCCTGAAGCGGAAACGGAAGAAAGTCGTAGATTCCTGTGCGACAATTCAGCATCAGAAACCTGTGCATCTGATTTTGGTAGCGCATCAGAGAGACGTGTAGTGGATACGTGTTCAATATCGCAGGACAGTGATGTAGGGAAACGAAACGCTGCCGCTGCGAGAACCGGTCTTAACGAATTGGTCTGTGAGGGTACGAGTAGGGTGAAAGTTGCAAATACTTTGGACTTGCAGCGACGGATCCCTGACATGGTTATGTCGGAAACTCCAGCTCTTGCTTTACGAGAGGCGACCAACAATGCTAGTGCCGTGTCTGATCAGAGGAGGGAGAGTGACATTAGAGAGGAAATACTACCACCAAGTGAGAGCTCCGATGCTGATGACATCAGTAATTAGGACTAAAAAATGAATATTCTTACACGATGCTGTCAATTTCTACAGCCCCATTTTAAAAATTTCGTATCTAAGGATGCCTTTTTCAGATTGCTGGGTTACAGATCTCTAATATATAATGAACAAAGCTGCTGGAAAGGACAACAAACTACCTGCCTATGATGTGTCGGTGTGGAGAAATTTGAGAAGCGTCATACCCTTAGGTGTTTGGATCTAAGATGCTCTGTTCTCGATTCTTTTATTAATCCATAGCACTGGTAAAGTCCGTTTTGTGTCAAAACAAAAAAAAGAACTGAGGACCGCTATTTCAATCGCTCACGATGCCCAATTAGAAACACGAACAGAATATGTAAATATATTGCCTATGATCTCTACGATGAGATGGTGTCGGTGTAGTGTCCTAACACGAAGATAATAATGAAAAGAAGCCAACATCAAGTTTCTGTCGATTCACCCACTTCCGTGATCTGATACAAATGGTCTTCATGTTTGTGACAACGCCATTAGCTACGCAGTTATCAATGAGGACACTCCAGGTGCTTGATTATGGCAATAAGTGTTATCAATGAGGACACTCCAGATGCTTGATTATGGCAATTAGTGTTATCAATGAGGACACCTCACCAAATGTCTATTCAAACTTGTAAGGTGCTACTCCGTTGTGGACCCCTTACTAGCACGATGCTGAAAAAACACTTTTCCCTAGATTATCTTGACTAGGGTACATCAGAAGTACCAATCTCCTATGTTACATATTGAGCATGTATGCATGTATGGTTTTTTAAGATGTTGCCATTAAAGTAATTTTAACTTTATTCATGTATTAAATTGAAGTAGAAGTATTGTTATCCACTTTGCTATGTTTTAAGTAATTGATTTATTTGATTTGATGTTAAGAAGTAAAGAGATTGCAAACTTCATTAAAGTAAATAGGTGTTTAAATAATTGGTATAAATATTATAGATTTTTGTATTAATACATCTTATATAGATTAATTTATAGATACATCTTGTGAATATTAGGGTTTTTTTTACATTAGTTAATAGAAATGGGATGGATTGTATATACTTGTGCTATAGTATTTATTACAGATGTATAATGCTTTGATGCAATGATTGATATTTAAAGTAGAGTTGTGCAATATTTTTTTTTGTATTTCTTATGAATGTTCTACAAATGATTCTTTGTATATATTTATTAATTGTGCCAAATTTTGTTAAAAGGATGAGTTTTCAATATTAGAAATTGTATTTTAATTTTATTAATTAATTAATTTAAATTAAAGAAGATTATGGTATTTTTTTAAATAATATTTATAAAATATAGACAAACATAAATTACAAGATTATACCTACATTCCAAGATAAGTTGTTTGTTATTAAGTAAGATTTAATAATTTATATTAGCAATCATGTATTAATATATCATTTTCTATTGTTTATATATTTTGAATATTTTTAAAGTAACAAAGTTTCAAATATGCTACTCTTTCAAACTTATATTGATTATTTGATATCCATATCAAATAGAAATAAAGAAGTATGTATATTAAAACGAAATTGGAATAGCTGTTGCTAAAAGACAAAAAAACTAGAGATTCTTAAAACTAGACTAGATGCAAGAAAAGACTTGACAAGAGTAAAGAAGGTTTTACTCTTGCCTCTATATATACTATCTACCTAAGAGCTACATGGCAATGTTCTATAGGATCTCAAAATAGTGTTGACTTTGTACAACATATATCTTAACTTAGAAGGCAAGTTTTCTATATAATCGCTACATAATTAGCTTGTTCTGCAAGCAATCAACATATTGTGATGATATAAAATAACTAATAAATGAAAGAGAGAAAAAAAATTATATTATAGAAGATCTTATTTTAAAATATTCTAGCAAATTATCTTAAAAATATAGATAATAGTCAAAAATATAGTAAAACTAAAAAATACTTATGTTGTTTTTTTATAAAATAGGCTTTTATTTATTTAATAGGACCTTAAATAAGGAAAAATAAAGTAGATTGGAAAATTATATAATGTAGGCATGTGTAAGAGAGAGTTAAGAGTAGATTTTAGCAAAATTTATCTCAAGAAGCCAAGAGTTGATACTCGGAGAGGACTGGTTGTCAACTTGGGTCAAATCAAACCCTAACGTACAAAACTACACACCTATGGTGACATTAGGGTTCTTTTTGTAGATCAAAGAGTGGAATTTGAGAATAAACTTAAAGAAATATTTTTAAGCATTGGATTTATGTCATTTAAATTAATATTGAAAATTTGAAGGATTTTCAAAATTAGTGATATTCTTAGTAGAATTAAGATTTAAAAAATAAAAATATGTTTATAGATTTGAAGTATTCTTAAGTTTTGTGGTATGTATATAAATAAAATTTGGACAATATATTGGTGTGCTAGTTGTAAATGTTTAAAGATTAGTGAGTATTTCTAAGATCTTCAATAATTTATTGATTTGATATTAGACTCAATTTTCAATATTTGGATGAAATTTGAAAGCAATTCAATAGTTTAAAAAGGAGATATTGATACTAGAAGTTCAGCATTTAGGTTGAAATAGGAGGTTGCCCAACACTTCATTGGATTATCTTACATTTCTTTCAATTGGTAAGTACAATCAATTTCATATTTCTTATGTTTGTTTCTAATTAAGATATTAAGAAGTGTAAAAATTTTAAGTTGATATCTATGATTTTATCATTAGCTGTTGAAATTCTATTTTGCTTTAAGATTTGTCTATGATTTCATTAGGACTTAGGATTTAGTCTAAATTTTGATTAAGATTAGGATTTGATTTAGAACTTGATTAAGATTTGATTAGGATATTTTAAGGATTTATTAAGATTTAATCTAGGATTTGGTTAAGCTAATTAAGATTTGAATTAAGATTTGATCTAAATTTTAATTAAGATTTAATTAGGATTTCAATTAAGATTATATTAAGGTTTTTATTTTTTATATTTTTTGAGGATTATTTATTTTTTCTTTGAATTTTTTATTTCTAATTTTTTTAAGATTATTTTTATTTTTTTAAGTTTGATTTTTATATTTTTTAAATATATATATATATATATATATATATATATATATATATATATATATATATATATTGAGATTAAATCATGAATTTTTAAAATTTCTTTTGTAATTTCTTTTAAATTTATTTTAATAGGTTAAAATTTGATTGGATTTATTAAGGATTACTTAAAGTTTATTTAAGGCCTTATTAGACTTGATAGAATTGTTGTTGTATTTTTATTTATCTTCCATAGATAGGTGCTCGATGCATTCTCAAGCAAGAACTTACAAAATACAACAACATGTGACACATGTAAAGTCAAAGGAATATCTATGAAGCTTTTAAGAAGCTTTTTTAGAAGATATTATGAAATTAATTTATTTTTAATTACTTCTATTTATTCATATTATCTAGTTAATAATTATAATAAATTGTCAAGGACATGAACCTCAAAAAATTAAAATATCAATACATTCTTTTGTCACTTGAAAAGAGTAGAAAATCTCTCAAAAATAATATAGTATTAAACTAGAATAGCTATTACTAAAGATAAAAAGACTAAAAAGTCTTGAAATAAGATTAAAGAGTAAAAAGATGTTGACAAAAGTGAAAAAGGCTTCCTTCTTGCTTTCATATATACTCTTAACTAGGAACTATGTGGCAATGTCCTATAGGACCTCCAAAACGTATTGACCTTGGAAGATACATATCTTAACTTATAAGGCAAATTTTTGTATGTGCGCCATATAATTAGCTTGTTTTACAAGCTATCAATATGTGATTAACTTGTTGATCAAGTATCTAACCTAATAATCAATTATAAATACACGTAAAGTTAATATAATATCTATAAAGCTTTTAGGAAGCTACTCTAAAAAATATTATGAAATAAATCTACTTTTACTTACTTCTATTATATTATATAGAAAAATATCAAAGTAAATATGTATGTCAATGATATTATCTCTCCTTCTAGAGGCGAATCCTACAAGGAGAAATCATCATATATTGAAGAAATTCAAGATGTGACAAATTATATTTGCCACATATTCCAATCTTTGTTTTCTTTAAAGATCCTTAATAGATCCTCTTAGCCATTAATAATATTCCATACCAAGGTGGAAAGGCCATCCTATTATTTGATTGTTCTTAAGGCCTTCATAACTCTTTTTAAATAAAATATTTAGAATACTATATAAAGTTGCTCCTACCTCTAATAAAATCACCAAACATTAAAAGTCTCTTGTAAGGTTGTAATATCAAATATGTTGTATCTGGCTATTTATTCAAGGAAAGACATGTTATTTTTGAAGATCTTCTTTTTGAATATGTCATCTTGAAGATTGTGACAATCATAATGTTTTATTCAATAGATGAGCAAGTGATAGCTTTTGAATTGAATCTGCTAGTTGTTGGTTTTCCATCTCTTTAGCATCACAAATACACAAAAGTTACAAATAAGAGTATAAGATAGAATGTTATCTTCCTTAGATCTTATTTTTTTTATAGCAAAGATTTTCTATTCTTCATCTTGGTTTTGATGGATGTCATTAATAAAAATCTTCAATTTACTCGACAAAGATTGAATCAATAATCAATGTTGATTTTATTTTTCAAAGATGAAAATACTTTAGCTTCAAGAAGATTATTTTTTGTTATTATTTTTTTGGATCAATAAATAATCTTGATAAAGACATGCTCCAAAGGACTTGGTGACAATTTAAAACACATGTTGACATAAAGTACTCAAGGTTCTATATATATGATGACTAGATTAAAAATCCCTTCTAGATAATGATGCTATTTTTGAAATGAATCCATAATTACAAGAAGCTCTTTATTATGGATCTCATAATTAATCTTAGTTACTAAAAATTTCTTGGAATTAAAAGCTACTAAGTAAATCTTATCTTTTATTCTTATTTGTAAGAAAATAACACTCATTGCAAAGTCTGATGCATTTATTTTTATAAAAAATACCTTTGAAAAGTCAATAAAATATAATATTGGTACAAAATTAAATATTATTTTTAAGGCTTTAAAAGATACTTC